TTTAATCAAAAGAGCATCTAAAAATTATCAATTGAGGAGCACTTTAAGTTTAAGTACACGGACGGAACATACCATTGGAACTATTGAAGACATGATCAGAATGTGTGTGTTGGATTGGTCGAAGAAATGGGTAGAGCATCTACCTTTGATTGAGTTTTCATATAACAACATTTATCATGTAAGTATTGGGATTGCCCCACTTGAAGCACTCGGAAGACCTTGTCGAACACCTTTGTATTGGACCAAAGTTTGGAGAGATGAGGGATCAAGGAGAATATCAAGACGATTCACAAAAACTTAAAAAAAGCCCAAGACCGACAAAAGAAATTGATTGAGATTATAATATATATATGTCACTGAAAAAAACTTAATGGCCCGAGCTCTGTTAACATTGGTCAAAGGTTTATCTTCGTGGGCAAATTCTTGGGGCGAGTCTAGAAGAAGGGGAGTAGCCCAATATTATTGATTTATAAGATTTGATCAACAATGGTTAAAATTGGACAGAAGAGTTCGAGACCGTGTTCCTACGTTTTCCCGTTGGGATTAAATCACTCAGAACTAGCCTTTAAACTAAGTGCTAGACTTCACATTTTTATCAATTATAGTCGGTTCCAAACACTCCATTGAAATCACATTAAAAGTGTCAACCGAGGGATCATGTCTTCACGAGTTTGGGATGTTATTTCCAACACATAGTTCGAAGAGTAATTGACCCCCTCTTCATTCATATTTGGAAGAGATATTTTTTGGATAACGGTATTCCCAATGGACCGTGGAGTGGTATATGTAATGTTCAAGATAAACTGTTTATATCTCTTGAATATGACTACCTCACTTTCATAATGGACGCGTTTCTAGTTTCTACTTTAAAATATCAGTTTTTTTATTTTTAATATTGTGTTAATTTTCTAATCTCATAAGTATAGGGTTGATTTATATGAAAATTGTTCAAAATTCCAAAAAAACAAATTGTTCAAGAAACAAAACAAATTGTTCAAGAAACAAAACATATTTTCTTATTTTTAAAACACATATCTATAATTATATTACCTCCTAGAGGTTGATAATTTTTGCAGCATTTGAAGGGACAATATCATCAATCCCAATTCACAGTTAGAGAAAATTTAAATATTGTAATTATCATTTTAAATTAACAAAAAATATCTTAATGTAAATCAAATAATATTTTGATATAGTGTTAGAAATATTAGTTATGCTAGTATTTATAAAACTACATTATCAAACTTTAGCATTTAGTTTTAATAAGGTTTTGCTAATAGCATAAGCATCATCTTGTAATAAGGATATATATATATATATATATATATATATATAACTATTAACATTCAAAATAATTCTTACTAGTCAAAGTTAATGGCATCGTTTAGACATTATTCTTGAATTTGCGGTTTATAGAAATTTTGATAATAAAAAATCAAGATAATTTCTAGTCAAAACTTACATTGAAAATTTAAAATAACAATAATGGAAAAACCAATATTAAACGCATTTATTATAGAATGAATGTGATAAATTATATTAATTTGGCATAGACTACATACCAAATTGTTTGACTGAGTAAACAATTCTAAAATAATAGTGATAGTTAGCTAAAGATGTACTCAAATTCATTATTTGAGTAAACAATTCTAAAATAATAGTGATAGTTAGCTAAAGATGTACTCAAATTCATTATTTAAGTTGATCCATGAAGATGACAACACTATAGGTATCCCTTCATAACTATATATACACACACACATATAGAGAGGGAGAAACAAAAACGCTTAGTTATTTTTCCGCGTATTCAACGAGGAAATAACTTTCAAAAATAAGAAGAAGGGTTTAGTTATGAAAGCCAACCCTTAGTAGACTTTCTTTACCAAACCCTTCTTTCTTTTTTTGTAAGTCACCCACCTCGCAATTCATGTGTGATATATCAAATCTTATGCTAGTGCATTTAAGTTCTCATATGATTTGAGCTTTAGCATATTCAGGCGGTTTTTATATTTTACATGTAACCCGATTCATACCCATTTCAAAAACAAATTTGTAATTTTTCAATACACAGGTAAAATTATATCGGATATCAAAAAATTTCAAACATCATCCTCGAGCTGTATTATTATTCAATTTTCAAATATCCATTTTAACATATTCATATAAGTTTTGCTTATTATAATAATGTATATCTTAAATTACAAGTTTTTGTGTGACACTTTTTTTTGGTATGTGTCACTAGTTATATTATTGAATTTAAGGGTTCAATATAAACTTATGGAATGATCGGGTAAAGAGATTAATAACGAATAGTTGTTTGGATTTTCTAGGTTATTTTTAATGTTAAAAGTTGATTGATCATCTAAACTTTACGTTTTTGGGATATGTTCGAACCAAAAATGTTTAACAGCATACCCGTACGAACCTTAAATGAGCAATACTTCTTTTACCAATGAAAGCTGATGTTAGAGGGTATTGTGAACATATCGAACATAAAATTTATGATTGTCTAAGTTTTTTGTTCAAACAAAATTGTAGGATTCAGAGATTTAACATTCTTTGTTGTACTCATTATGTAAATAACCTCATTTTTCTATTGACTAAATAAATTGAACATTTTATTAAAAAAAAAAAAAGAAATATGCGATTTCATGACCAAATACCTCCGTACTCCTTCATGAAGTTTTGAGTAATTATTTAATTTCGATTACTTTGGATCTCTAAAAGGAAAAGAGAAAAAGGAAATGAGATATTTTTCTCCAAAATCTAAATCTTAAATTTCAATTTCTCAGTTTTCTCTATTGGCTAAGCATTTTTCATCTTTCTTGATGGTAGTTCTAGTTTCCTCATCATCGCTGTTTCTTATTATTCTCTGAGAGTATTAGTCGGTGGTTTGTTTTGTTGGTGTCTGTTTGTAAAACACTCATGTTTTGTTGTATGTCGCCAATGGCAATACAATTATTAGAGAGAATGGTGATGCATCCTTTCGTTCACTTCCTCTCTCTATTATTTGTGTTGGTTCTTTGTAACCGCTTCTGCTCTTATCGTAGAGTTTTTATTTTTTAGCGACGATCTCGTCTCCAATGTAACAGTTTAAAAGCGGCTCAATATCGAGTGGGATTTGACAAATTAACCTCAAAGGATTCCAAATTTCAACAATGGAATTTGGCATCGTATTCCCTTTGTTTTAGTTAGTAATGGAGGATTTCAAAAGGAGATTCATGTACGAGTTTGGATCTAGAACAATGGAGGAGGGACATATATATAATGCATGTCAACATATCACTATACCGACAATTATGGGCGATTGGTACAAAGAAGAAAATGTCATCTCATACACCTGATGTAAGGAAGATTGTATTCAATTTAGGTAAAAATATAAGAAAAATAATAAATGGCCTCAACCCAAGTATAATGTTTTCGACTTCATTCCGTCTTGGTTGTTTAGGAAAGCATCGACGAGATTCAATGTGGAATCCAGGAACAAGATCGGTTTGTGTGAATAGGCGAATTTGACATGTTCTACCGAGAGTTAGAAGACACAAGTCAAAATCATCTTCAACAGCTTCTAAATTACCCTTATTAGTGAATGTAATGCTAATGTCATTTTGAACTTTCAGTATAGCCAAAAAAAAAAGTGTGTGGAGGTGAGACGTAACATATTGTTAGCATATAAAGGCTAATGATAGGAAAGCATGGTTACTTTCACTCCTTTTGTGTACAATTTGCTCTATTTGCATCAACAGTTGTATGTTGTTAAACTCTTTGTGAATGATATATTTGATTTGCCATTTTTTTATAAGAAAATAAATTTATAAAAGTTTAGGAGTTATATTTGATTTTTCGTGTTTTTAGTTTTTAATCTAAAGCTAAATCAAAATAATATCTAAATTATCAATCGAGGAGCACTTTTAAGTACATGACTTCAAAACTGATTGAGGTTACATTATATATGTCATTGGAAAGTGTAATGTTTTAACAAATTCATTAAGGGTACAATATTAATTATAAAGTAAACATAATTAGTTAAAAAAATAAATAATATGACCATAGATAATTATTGATTAAAAATTCAAAAAATATTTAATAGCCAATCAAATTATAAATAAAAGATTTGACATCCAATTATATCATATTAATATTTTAATCATTGTATTTATCTTTTCATCTTTGTTTGACAGTCATGTTTTTTTAAAAATTGAATAATCACGCCATACATTCAGTAAAATAAATATAATATCATTTTGCATATGTTACAATTTCTTTTATAAAATATATTCTCTCTCTTTCACAAAGAGTGGCATTCTACAATTTTTCACACATATTAGGAAAACTATTAAAATTTCTACTATACATTTTATCAATACACTAAACAAAATTATCTCTCTTATTACTACATTAAAAAAATAGAGTTAAAAATAGATTTTTACTCAAAATTTTGTATAGGAAATACAAGACGGCACTCTTTCTGAATCAAAAATAAAACCTTAAAACGACGTTCTTTGTGAAACGGAAAGAGTATTAGTCAACATGTTAGAAGTCCCATATTCTGGCATCAACTATAAAGACGAGTAGTGGTTCACAAAAAAATTATAAAAATGATCAAAATGAAGAAAAAACTGAAGAATAAAAAAAAATTATCAAATGGTTCAATTTTTTAAAGATGTTTAATTTTGACAAATATAACTAAGGACATTCCAATATTTCGGTTATTTCGAATATAAACATAATTAATCTCCATTATTTCAAAGATAACTGTAACTAATATATATATATATATATATATATATATATATATATATATAATTGTATTTCAGATAGTTCGGATATCCTTTAGATTTTTAATTTGATTTCGATTCAATTTGGGTATCCAAATTTTTTAAAAAATCATTCAGATATTGTGTTCAATTCTATTCGTTTTCTACTAATTCAGTTCGGTTTAGTTTCGTTTTTTCGGTTCCGGATAGATCTACCTTCTGAGCCGGAGCAACAAAAAGGACCAATATTGTAAATTACTATAGTTTATTTTGATAACTTCTCCTTGGAGAAGAGTTTGTTTGCAAATAAACCCATTATTAATATCTCTTTCTCTTTTTTCACCACTCTCTCTCTTTCTCTCTCTCCGGCTCACACGAGTCGCTAATCAAATAACCCTAAACCCTAGATCGTGATCGGAAACGGCACCTCCTCGTCGGCGATAGCTTCTCTTCCACTAAAAGCAACTCCTCTTCGGTATTCTTCATCCTCTAATCAATCTCTCTCTCTCTCTCCGTTTCCAATTCTCATCTCTACTCGGTGATTAGAAACGGCTGGATCTGTTTTAGATTTGACAACGATTCATGATTCTGATTCTTTCATCGATTTGATTATCTTAGCTCTCGTTGATTCTCGGTTTATAAGCTTAGATTTGGTTCTCGTCTCTGATTCTGAAAAATCCGAGAAACAATTTGTATTCTAGAGTAAATCGTTCTTGTAATGACTTGATTTATCATATAAGCGTAGAAGAACAATTTGCGTTTAGCTGAATTTGATTTTTGTTATGTTTAGGTGAAAATGGCAGAGCATTTAGCTTCAATCTTTGGTACTGAAAAGGACAGAGTGAATTGTCCGTTTTACTTTAAGATTGGTGCTTGTCGTCACGGTGACCGGTGCTCACGGCTTCATAACCGTCCCACCATTTCCCCGACGCTACTTCTCTCGAACATGTATCAGAGACCTGACATGATAACTCCAGGTGTGGATCCTCAGGGTCAGCCGTTAGACCCGAGTAAGATCCAAGACCACTTTGAGGATTTCTATGAAGATATTTTCGAAGAACTTAACAAGTTTGGTGAAGTGGAGAGTCTCAATGTTTGTGATAACCTTGCTGATCATATGATTGGGAATGTGTATGTTCTGTTTAAGGAGGAGGATCATGCTGCTGCTGCGTTGCAGGCTTTGCAAGGGAGGTTTTATTCTGGCCGTCCTATCATTGCTGATTTCTCTCCTGTGACGGATTTCCGGGAAGCTACTTGTAGGCAGTATGAAGAAAACAGTTGTAACCGTGGTGGGTATTGTAATTTCATGCATGTGAAGCAGATTTCGAGGGAGCTTAGGAGGAAATTGTTTGGGAGGTATCGTCGGTCATACCGCCGGGGAAGCAGAAGCCGGAGCAGGAGTATAAGCCCTCGACGCAAGAGAGAGCATTCGAGGGAGCGAGAGAGAGGGGACTTGAGGGACCGTGACCGCCATGGAAATGGGAAACGAAGCAGTGATAGATCAGAGAGGCATGATCGAGATGGTGGTGGAAGAAGGAGACATGGAAGCCCGAAACGGAGCAGAAGCCCACGAAATGTGAGAGAAGGAAGTGAGGAAAGGAGGGCAAGAATTGAGCAATGGAACCGAGAACGCGATGAGGGAGTTTAAGAGTAATGTTTGGACTGATTGCTTCAGAAATCGGTAAAATCTTGTAATGGATATTCATTTGGTGTTCTGTTTTGGAACTTGAAAAATGAGTGGCATGAGCTCCTTAGATGATGTAAGGTGTTTATTGTATCTTGTAGAATTTTGTTTAGAAACTAGTTCGTGAGGTAGATGTTGGGTTCAGTTTTTCTAAATTAATGTGGTAATGATCCTTTGGTTATTGTTCTTCATGATTGTCCCTTGAAAATTGAAATGTCTCTCTTATAAGTTTTAACACATTGTCTTGATAAATTTTGTCTGGTGGAATGGATGAAGAAACATAGTTCGTGGACAGTTTTATCAATTTTGGTGTCCACTTTTCATGTTTAATGCATTTTGTTCTTGATAACTCCTCGAGTTATTGTACCAATAACAAAACTCACAAAGCTTGTCTGGTTTTAAGGTCTGTTTGTTGAGTTCAAATTCAAAGTAAAAAGCATTTAATATTTTTGATGAATTTAATTCAATGTATATTCAACTGATATTTTGAAATAATTTAGAACTATGCCTTAGTATTTTCAAATAGTACTCGTTCCCTGAGAACTTTATTAGTTGAATACACTAACCAAGCGGGTAATGCACTGCAAGAAGTGTGGAGAAGCTGGTCATATTGCTGGTTCATGTGCCAAAAAAGGCCAAATGGGTTTAGTTTCATATTTGTTTTATTTGTTGATTTTTGTGATGGTTGCTGATTTTGTTGTTGATTAAGTTGGTTTGGAATGCAACTTTTGTTATTAATTTATGCTGGTTTTGGATGATGATTTTGTTGTTGATTTGTGCAGGTTTATATCGTTTCAGGTTCATAGTCATACTTCTCAAAGTCAGCCTACCCCGCCCATGTCACAAGTGGATGAAGAGTAGAAGAATATCATGAGTTACAACTCCATATTTTAAAATTTTGGTCGGTTGCATGCTATGTTGGCAAAGCATGAGGCACAACTTTTGTGGAGTTGCATCCCGTGACCCAATTTTAGAATCTTAAATCGGGGTTTTTGTGTAATTTCTGATATATTAATTGAGAAACACTTTTTAGAAAGAACATAATCCTCACGTGTTTTTTACAAATATACCATGCGGATGTGTATGTCAGAAAGATTCTTAGCTTATTTAAATAATTATTCAATCTTTAGTAACATACTAGGTTATTAATCCCAGCTAGGTGGAGATTTGTTGATCGATTGTTTTAATATATATTTTGGACTTAGTAATCATTTAAGTACTTATACATTGACATTAGTAATGCAAAAGTACTACTGTATAATGTTTTATTTTTAATTATTTTTAAAAATAAATGTTGTTTTATTTATATGTATAGTATCATTTACGTTATTAAAGTTTTTCTTTTAATAAAAAAGAAAAAGTTTATAAGATAAAATTTAATTAAAAACATATTAGAAATATGATGTATAATATTCTCTTACTTGTTTTATATTATTAAAGATTTTTGCTATTAGTAAAGCAATTATAAAAATATTTTGAAAAAATATTAGAAATTGAATTATCAAAATATGTACAAGTTTGGGCATACATGTATTTCTCTTATCTCTTAGTAAATTTTTTTGTTATTAATCAAGCAATTATAAGGTAATATATTTTTGAAAAAAGAAAAGCTTGGTTGACACTTCCCTATTTTTACCCTAAATCGCAAGAGCTGATTCAAATCGAATCATCCGATTTTTGTGATACTTCAAGACTTTTTTGTTTTGGTTTTGGAATATCGCGACGTCCCAAAACACGTGTGTGTCAACAGCTACAAAAATCAAAGCGTGAAAGGAAGTGAGGATTAAAATCTCTAATATTTTTATAAAGGAAATGTTTTTTAATATCGTGAAAGATTAACAACAAAAATCAATCTTAAAATACTCACATAAAATCTCTAATATTTCTATAAAGAAAATTTTTGCGATTTGGATATTATTATTATTATTGATTTGCTTAGTTTATATAAAAACACTCAAATAAAATAATATCCAAATCGTAAAGTTTTCCTTTTAAAAATCTTTGAACTATTTAACATGTATTAAAAATTTAACATTTAATTGTATTTGGAATTAAACATATAATCTCATAACTATATTAACATATAATAACGTTCGTGGGATAATATACCATTTGAAAATTAGCAAATTGTCATATTATTAACGATATGTTACCACATTTTTGGAATGGTAATATTTTTTTCAATCAATGATTATTAAGGTATACATGATATAAGTTTTTATATATTTCACAAAAAAAAAAAATTAGTCAAAACTATTAATGTGTATTATAATAGTAAAAAAGTTCGGGAGAAGTTGAGATTCACAACCGAGAGAGAGCAAATTAATTTGTCTTATAAACCTAGAATGACCCTCTTATCGCTCTCTCAGCTATCATGATATCTAAAATAACTTCTATTTCCCAATCTTCATCATGCAAAGACTTTACCAATGTAATTATTTCTCAATTTTTTTCAATATCGTCTATAAAGACCGTATTTAGACCTCTATATGAAGATGGATAAATATATTAAAACTGTTTAAAAATAAGTTACACCAAATATATATATATGAAATCACACATGGTTTAACGTCTCATTTATGAAAATAATTGTTGTACGAAAATTATGCGATCATGAGGTTGATCTTTGGTGGGCGAGGTAACTTTATACAACATACATATTCTCAAATTTATTGCTAACGGTATAGATCCATGAAATATAAACTCTAAAATCATAAATTTATGAATAATATTTTTTTTTTAAGTAGTTAGCTAACCCCTTAGCTTGGTTAACATAATCTAATATGTATTGAGTACATTAATTTGTGTATACTCATCATGTTTTAGAATATATCTTAACATACGTATAATATTCCAACATATATGCAAAAATATTTGAAAGTAATAAATAATTTCATTTATTTAAAGATAGTGCAGTAAAATTATTAGTATAGTAAATTGATTGTATCATGATATCAAGTTTTTAGTTTCAAATACAACCCTTTTATTTTGTTATGTAAAATATATATACATTAAAAATTCATTATGTTACATGATTAATCAATATTGATGATCTATTATTTAATGCATATTATATTCTTCTTTCGAACTAGACATTTATTTCATTCATTTGTTTCATTTGTGATTACAATATTAATTAATGCACATGTTGAAAATTAACCAAGTAGTCAATAAGTTTTAAATGTACTATAAGTTTTGAATCATATTTGAACTCAAACATATGTTACTTCTGCAACTGGGTTTTTTTCACCTTAGTATCTTGGATATTCACTTTTGTATCTTTGAAATTCAATTAATAATGATGTTGAGATGACAAATAAAAACTCAAAAATTTTATATGTAAATAGCACTCATATATACTAAATTGTATATGTTTGTATATTTTTGAACTAAAAGTAAGGGACAGTTGAATTAGCTAGCTTCTTCTTCTCTCTCTCTTATTATTTTTGGTTAAAAGCATTCACATGTATCCTAAAACAAAGAGAGAGAAAGATCAAATTTCAAATTATAAATGCTCAATGTTGTAGAAATGTTTGAGACGGCTTATGGCTCTTCATAGTTACTAGTGATAAAAACTTTCACATGAAAAAACAATTTGTTTGTAATCATGCTCATTATATCATCGTATATGTTATAGATCATTGTTGGCTTCTATATGCTTGATGATCGTTTTGAATATTTTTTGAACTCGACATGAGCTACTAAACTGTTTTTATGCTATTGTAGATTTAAGATGGAACAATCCAACAGACCCGCTCAAAATGCACCTTTCGTAACTATGCGTAGAACAAAAGTACTACAAAAGAAGATGGCACAACAACAACATATAGAAAATATCTACAAGCAACAACCTCCACTACTACCACAAAAACGGATATTTCAAAATCAAAACAAGAAAAAAAAAACAAGAAGAATGTTTTATTGCCACCCTCCGAGAGTGAATCAGAATCCGAGCTTGAAAACGGTAGTGAAAACGAGGATCTACGGGCAAAAAATCAACCCGACAAAGTGATCTCAACTTTTGAAGAATACTTTGCAAAGTTCATGACTTTGGCGTTCTCTCAAACAAGATTTTCAGATCACAACTTCCTGATAGAGCTTGGTTTACACGAAGACGTGCAAAGTTCATTTCAACAATTTGGGTCTTCACCAATTTGGGTCTAAGCCATTTCTTCACGATGGAGGCTCAAACATATCAACAACCCACTTGCGAGTTCCTAGTTTTCTTGAAGTTTCGAGTCAAGTACGCTAAAACCGAGCTTATGGAGATAACGGTGACATTACGTTCTAAATTGGAAGGAGACAATATGAATTATCTCTTCTCCAAGTGAGTGACATACAAATCTCAACAAATTCAAAATTGAGTCAAGCGTGTCGGCGAGTACTTGGGATCTAATTGGAGCTAGTTGGAATATAAATGGCGAGGAATACCAAGACTTGAAGGATTAGAAATCCGACCGTTAGATACGCTAAAAAAATTGTTAGCTAGTACATTTTTTTTTTGTTACCACATTTTTTATGTAACCAAAATTTTTGCTGGTTTTCACATTTGCATCTTTGTTTCTTAGTAAAAAAAAAATGGAGAACATGAGATGGTTAACATGACAGTGTTTGAATATTACCGTAAATGCCTTAATATTGAACTGCAATATGCACGCTTACCTTGCGTCAGTATTGACAGTCTGGACCATCCTATTTACCTTCCCTTATTTTTTTTTTTTGGACGAAAGAGATTTTATGTATACATTCAAACTAACGCTTATTTCTTTATGCGCACAATGCTAGCTTGTTAAGCTTAAAACCTTTCGGCGTCTTATATGGTTTTGCATTTAGGCACAAAGTAAGTGTTCTTATGAGTCCATCATGCCCTAGTCAAGTACTCTGTTCATCTCTTTATTTATTGTAGTAGTAAGTTACTACTAGTCACAAACAAGTCTGAAACATCTATCTTCCTATTTACCTTCCCATGGAGGTGATTTAAGTGCTTTTTTTTTACCACATTTTATATGTAACCACAATTCTTGCTAGTTTTCACATTTCATGAATTGTAGTTACATGAAAATGTGGTAAAAATGTACACTTTAGGATGTTTTGTTGTTTTTTTTTTTTGCATATGTTTTGGTTTTTTCATATGACAATTTTATGTTATTTGATATTTGAATGTTTTTTTTCTAGATCTGTCACTGCATGTAATTTTGAAGATATTGTAGTCAGAGCCATGCCTATGTTGTGAAA